GTGACCGTGTTTTCTTTTCTCCTGCCGTTTCTCCGCGACGAGGCTACCCTCTAATCAGTCGCTCGAAAACCTTTTCTCTCCGCCGGAGACGAGCAGCTTTCCTTCCCTTTCTGCCATCCGCTCTCTAAACAAACCTGCAGTCACTGCAGTGACATTCAACTTAGGATCCTCTGCTCCATTTACGTAATGCTTATTCGAAACCGTTCGGAAGCACGTTTATTTTCAGTGTCACCGTTTGACTCCGGTAACATCTGGAGACCCGGCGCAGATGTGTCCATTGGAATTTGAAATTTCCGAATCATTCGACCATATTATACTTGGAAGCATCTTCGTTGTCACCGTTACATTGGATAAGATCTTTATTAGTTTCTTACACTGCCGTTCCAAAAACAAATGCAGCACGGTCACGATCTCGAGCGATTTTGAGAACGCTTTAATCAGTTAGCTGTGACGCCTCTTTTTCAGAGCGCGCAAGTATATACAGGGTGTTCCAAAATTATGATATTTCCGGGAAGCCCAATTCCGCTGATTGGATCGATCGCCTCGCGCGAGCTGATCTCGCCTCTCATTGGTCAGTGTTTTTCGTTAATAACTCGTAAACGAAGCCGCGGTTTGCATTTTCGCTAAGGAAAAAGTTGCTTCAAATTACCTCGAGCATCACCTCTTTCCAGGTGTTAACATAATTATGGGACACCATGTAGAGATATACAGAGTGTCCCGAAAATGTCTCGCAATCCGGAAATGGGTGGTTCCTAAGGTCATTTCAAGCAACTTTTTCCTTAGCGAAAATATTCTACGAGGCTTCGTTCGCGAGTTATTAACGAAAAACAGTGACCAATGAGAGGAGAACTCGGCTGGCGCGCGGCGGCCCAGCCAACGAGAGATCGAAGCCCAATTCCGCTGATTGGATCGGTCGCCTCGCGCCAAATGATATCGCCTCTCATTGGTCACTGTTTTTCGTTAATAACTCGTAAACGAAGCCGCGGATTGCATTTTCGCTAAGGAAAAAGTTGCTTCAAATGACCTCAGGAATCCCCTACTTTCGGATTGCGAGACATTTTTGGGACACCCTGTATATACAGTATCAGACTCTGTACAGTACACATCAGACTCTGCCGTCCAGAGAAATCGCCTCGCGCAGAATTCAGCCGTACCTAAAAGGTTAACAAGAAATGTTCAAGTTCAGGACTTACAGCGTATTCCGATACGTGTCGATTGATTCCTGACTTGTCCGGCACCTAGCTTCCCAAGCGATCGCGGACGCGAGCAATAAAAATTGAATTCCTCGTTGAAAGGATTACCTTGTAGTCGCACAGTGTTAGCGTTCACTGGTCGCGGCTGCAAGGTGGGGGTGGACGAGAAGGAACGAAAAACCAACGGGGCGAAATTTCATGCGGCAAAAACGGTGTTGTACGCGCGTCGCTTCAACTCCCGGGAACAAGTGCCTCCATGTAGAGAAGTTAATTACCAGAAATAAGCGGCCGTCGAGTCGTGAAGCTTGCACGAGGCTGCGACTTGCCGGAAACCCGCGTGTGTATCTCGTTAAAAATTTATTTACGAGGAAAGTTCGCCGCACGGATTAGAACCTTAATTTCGCAAAAAATATCTGCGTCCGACAGATACACGTGGAATCGATAGTTTCTACTCAGACTGGACTTCGACATACCTTAACGACGATGTCGAATCGTGTATTTAGAGAACGTGGATTTTACACGCTTTTGGCAAATATTGTAGGCGAAACACGGAGCAATGAAAATATTGGAGTTAGATTACATTCAAAACATGTAAAAATTATTACAAGATAATCATTTCTATGTAACCTTTGCTTTATTAATATTAATATTGATTAATATTAATATTTTTGCTTTATTATTATTATTAATTGCAGAACATTTTTATTTCTAACGAAGATCTACGATCTGTTTATAAAAGATTATCGATCATATTGATTTATTCATACTTGATCTATTCTTTTAGATTAAATGTGTAAATAACAATATATTTTTTAAAAATATAGACATGTTCTCTATAAATTATTTTTAAACTCGATCTTGGCTCTGGTCCTCGGATCCCATAAATATGAAGTTGGATCTGTAGAAAAAAAAGAGGAAAATGACTAAGAAGAGGATATACGAATGTAAATATATTGTAAAATGGCAAAAATTATTACAAATCCACAGGAATATAATCAAATTGTAAGAGGACAGTATACATAAAGACAGTGCTCAACATAAAATTGTAAAAATATTGTAAAACCACAAATATAATAAAATTGTAAAGTTCGGTATATATATAATAAATTGTGCTCGACGTCGCAAAGGCGATATTTGTCACAACATGTAATCAAAATTAGCATAAAAATTATCTTGCAAATTATCTTGTCATTTTATCTTCGCTGGCGTAAAATTTAAACAAAAACATTGAAATATAAAATTGTAAATATCTCACGGAGCAAGATATATTGTTTCGTGCAACATGAAATTCTAATAATGAAATTTCTAAAATGAGATCTCTATTATAAACTCATTCATAAACAAAATAAGATAATGTTTCACACATTTGAATATTGTCTCTATCGATCATGTCTCCCGAATTAACCTTTTTTTAACCATCAACAAAAATTTAACATGTCGAATTCGAACTTTTTCCAAGCATCCTCGCAGAATCTTACGTCGAAGCGAAGGAATGTATCTCAAGTTCTCGCGATCGTTGTGGTTACTTTCGACGAGAGGCGAGAGGTGTATAGGTAGTTCATCGGGCTTTCATTACACGTCTCGAACGCGGCTTCCTCGCAACACGCAGCCCAAGCAGCTCACGATTATGGCCGACGCGAGCGGACCCCGGATACATCGTACAATTCTTGGGCGGCGCGGCGTGTTGGCAATAATTGCGATATCGTACCTCGCGATACCGAGAAACGCTTTTCAATCGGGGAGTCCGAGACGCGAGAAACATTTTCGACGATCCGAAATTACACGTCTGATTCGGCCGCCGTACGGTCGCGGAACACGCGACCGGATCGAGCTGTCGCCGCCAGAGACCGATTCGCGAATAAAATGCACTGGGGGGAGGGTCGTCAAAGAGGATCCGATTTTGTTTACCCAGCGGGATCAGACTTCCTGGGAATAGGGAAATAATATACGCTCGTTTAGCCGGAAACCGTGTCGCGAAAGAAGGGGATCGCGGTTCGGGAAACTCGATGAATCCAGCCGGGCGGAATGGCGGTGAACGACAGCTGCTTCCTGAATACGAAAATTGTCAATGACCGTCGACTGACTCGTGGAAATGCACACCCACGGTTAATATATATCCTAAAGACTCCTTTAACGGCTGGGGAAATTTTATTATTAGTTCAGATTTAATACATTTTTACTTTCATTTTAACACTTTATCGACCGCTAGCCTATTTATCGGCTTTTCGATTGCCAATGTTTATCGATCGCTAGCCTATTAATCGGCTTTTCGATTGCCAATGCTTATCGACCGATAGCCTATTAATCGACTTTTAGCTATCGACGGTTTTCGCTTCTTTACTGTTTTGTTAGTAGCTGACCTCCTGTATGCTGACCTCCCCATATCCTTATGAATTATAATTATAATAATTATTATTATTTATTATTATTTTTAAAGGAATAAGCACAACACAATGAATAGCGAAAATTTAGCCGGTACTGGGAGCAAATGCGCGCGCGACTAAGCCAGTCCTTACTGAGTGGCAGCCTCAACCACGACCGGACGATAAAGTGTTAATATTATTATTGGGCTGGCAACTGAGTAATTGCCGATTTCAGTTATAGACGTCTCTCACTCCCATTTTTATGTTATCCGTAAATGTTATATTATAAAATTATTATTATTATTATTATGTTATTTTTGATTATCCGTGAATGTTAGCAACTGGAATTGGTGAATCATAATTGAAAAATTATGAAAATCAGATATAAAAATCGCTCGGACATTTTCATCAATACGGTAAGGTTTACTGTCAAACAGAAAACATTTTGCAATGTTTTCGCAAAACCGTTGCCAGCCGGAGCGACTGACAAACGAATTTTGAAAATTGTGCATTCGAAACAAGTGTAAAAATGTCGATTCCACGGCGCGTCGCAAACATAGCACACCGCACAAATTGGAGAAGCACTTTCGCGGCGATGAATGCACGATGAAATTCAGCGATTTCTTTGGGGAAAATATCGTCGATATATTGGGTTGACAACTAAGTAAGTAGTTTTGAAATCGAGCAAATAAATAATAAATGCTCCCCTCTATACTAAATATAAATAATGTATGGAAACGATGGAAAAAGTGGCATTGTTAAGCATTCCGGTTCCCTTATACTGTACTTTTTAAAGAAATATACTCAAATGTGAGTAATTATGATGGCAAGACGATCGGTTAGGGTGGTTAAATGCAATTTGCCAGAAATAGCAGATTTAATAATTTTTTATCGAATTTGATTAAACAAGATCACGTAAAGAAGCATAACATAATTCTTCAGTATAAGTCTTTCTTAAGTCTTATATCTGATTTTCAAGTACTGACTAATTGAGTACTGACTAAATACATGTCCAATCCTCACCGGAATTTCTAATATTTTTTTTAACAATAATTACTAGACTATACTATATTCAAGTAAAATAAAAATTGTCTAAATTGATTGCAAGAAACATATGTCAGATGAGAACGTCTCTCCTCTTTTAACGATTTCAATAAGTCACACATAGTGTAAAAACATTCTCAAATTCTTCTCATGTATTTACAATTTTTTGTTTAGTCATTTTTGCAATAAATGCATAAATTCACATATGGAAAATAGTTTCGGATGCCACGGCTGAGCCCTACGAAATATTCGGTACGGTATTCCGCGCGATACGATTAGCGACACGATCATATCGAACAATTGAAACGTACGAATGATAATTACGGTGCTCGCGAACGAAAGAGCACGGCGGAACGAATATGGACGTATATATAATCAAAGCAATTTCCTTTGTTTGCAGCACAATGCATCGCTCCCCTGGGGATGGAATCTGGTGTGATTCCCGATGCAGACATCACAGCGAGCTCGAGTTTCGATAGCGGAAACGTCGGGCCACATCGCGGACGGTGAGTGAATTACCGTGTATTACCGTCTCGTTTATGGAGCGCATTATGCAGATGCGATGCAATACGCATTCGGAAATATGATAAAATTAACCCCTTTGTGAGGAACGTGGAACAGAGATGCAATTTCCCGAAATCAGCGCGCTTCGTTAAGTGACCTATTTGGGGATAAATGGAAGCCTGTTCGTCAGGAAAAGACACTCTGCGAACCCCCTCTCGCCCTCTCTCGCTCCCTCTCCCGCTCTCTTTCTCTGCGAAAGAACAAACGAATCGTTCCGCGGATTACTAAGAACATTATGAAACATCACAATCGTTTCAATTAGCTTCCAAAGTTTTTATTAGCTCGCCACCGTACATGACCACCCGCCTACCGGACTGAATACCTCAATTTAGGATCTCGAAACTTTCGAGCCGCGCCGGGACGAAACTTTTTCAGAGAATTTTCAAACGTGAATTTTATATTACGCGCGCTGCTGCATAAGTCATTGTCCTTTTTCTCAGCCTCGTTGCGCGCACTCTCTTCACTGTGGCGCGCTGCTACGCCATTGGCTAATTGCTGCGAAAGCTGACGAGTAGAAATTAAAATATGAATGCGTTATTCTCTGTTCAGACCTACGTTCTGATAATATAATTTTAACCGTAATTTAATAATCGTTATAATACTTGAGTCAAGGTAATTTCTGGTTAGTCAAAATATGAAGCGAAAGTTCTATGTAGCTCCGGAAGCAATAATGCTGGTCTACAAAATTTGACTCATTCTTTTGTTACACATTTGTGCGAGTTTGATAGTGTTTTTTACACTGGATTCAAATATGCAATCCGTTCTTTTTCTTTAAGTTCTTGAGTAAATTTAATATTCAATAATTACTACCGGATTCGGCGAGAGAAAGTACGTAAAAATGGGTTGAAATATTCCCTGTAACCGTAATCGTGTTTAGAAGTGTACAGTAAATTTTTTCAAATTTTCCTTCAGCTTGTAAACAAAAATGAACAATTTGGGAAGAGGAGATACGATTATTCGAACCTCGCGGCTCATTTTTATGGTTGTCAATTGTCAACGATTATAAAAACGAGATGCAAGGCTCGAATAACCGTACCTCCCCTTCCCAAATTGTCCATTTTTGTTTACATGCCTATTTCTACAAAATCGATTAATTTTATAATTAATTTAATTAATTTTATAGCTAATTGTAATAGATCAATTAATTGTAATAACTGTCAAATGACCACGTCAACAATTTTTATTCTACAGGTGAATTTAAATGGCAAATATGACTGACGAATTTCGTTCTTGCCACAATAATCGCTTCTTGAAATGAAGACTACAAAATTTCTATAAGTCATCTTTAAAACATTCAATTGGGAAAAGTCATCTTAGACAAATTCAATTCCAAAACAAATTGTCATCATGTTTTATTAACATAAATTTTGCACAGTTTTTCACAAATTTCGTGCCACAAATGCACAACGATCTGCATTTTCAATATAAAGCATTATTAAAAATCAGATTTACAAATTCACACAGTTATTTTAATTCGTGAATTCTTTGTCCTCCTATATTATACGACCTATAAGATTCTAAGAGTGCAGAATTCTTAATTTTTCTCTTCAAATGCAACGGAGCATTAATGAATAATCGTATCTCCTCTTCCAAAAAAGCAAGCACAGGTGAAACATCGAAACCTCCATATACTTGTCACCACATCATCGTAGACGATAATGTTGTAAATTCGTTGATTGATAGATCGCTTACTTTCAAATCGTCAGCGATCCATCAATTTCCCGAAACCGAAATTCGAAATAAATTTGTTATCGGTCGGGATAATACGTCGAGCCCTCTTCTTCCCAAATAGACGAGACGATTTGTCAGAACACCGACGGCCGGACGTTTTAAAACGGGGATGCAGATTGATGTCGGGGCAATTGTGCGACGGTGATCGACGACAGCCGAGAGGAAGAAAAAAACCGGCGGAGAAAACAAAAAGAAAACCGTCGACCGCGGCGCACGATAACGTTTCTGACTCTGAATGCTTTCTACGGCTTAAACGGATGATCCTCTTCCTGTCCGTCATCCTGTCCACGGCCGAGATAGCTCACGATCGGGACTCGACCGGTCGCCGTATTAATCACCGACTACTAAACTGCACGTCTAATTCGGCCTTCGAGCCGCAATGAGGATTAACGACGCGGCCGTGTCCCGCATGCAGAGCCATTTGTATCGAACGTACCGAACCTCCTTAGGCGTCGTTAACACAGTCCGCCGCGTATTCTTTGATTATTCGTGCCAGCTAATTACCATTTCACCGAGTAGACACGGAGGACGACCGGGAGAAGCGAGACCGATCGTCTAAACACGAGTCCCCGAAGTCGGACCACCCACGCCGTTAATGAACCGGCGTTCGCGGATCGTCCGGCTCGAAAAAACATATTGTCGAACGGTCCTTAAAATTCCTCGATAACGTTTCATCGTTTTTCGGAAGAACCGCCGGACGAGACGCATTCGAACGCGAGAGCGACCGTGTCATCGGACGTTTTTATGCCCCGCGGCGGAATGTTAAACGAATCCTGAATTATTTACGGCCGCATTTTAATCCTGGAAATATTCTATTCGCTGCATAAATAGGTGTTGCCGCCGCGTCTCGTAGGCAGCTGATGAGATATCGCGGAATTTTACTGCAAATTGAGTCGGGCCGGATAAAAGTTTTATAAAGTCCGTGTTCGGATGTGCATGGTATTGGTGTTTTTTACGAAAGTAAACGCGCGATACGCGATCGCGGCGTTTCCCGCGTTTTCACATTCTTATGTAAATGGGACTGCGCTGCGTAGATTAATACACAAAAACAGAGGTCGGATAAAACATCGAGCGAACAGTATTACTGGACGCAGATGGAAATAAAGCTGACGTTGACCGTTCGAGTCCAAGGGCTTATTGAGAAAACGCGCGTCGAAAAATGCCGAACAGCGCGACATCGCTTGTATTAATCGTTTGCGAAGAGAACCAAGCGGCGCGACAGCGCTCGTCGAGGTTGACAAACAAAACAAGAAAAAGAAGCTATGCGATGTACTGTCCGGTGCTCGGAAGTGGTCAGCTGAGAAAAGTGTAGGACCGATTCCGTGTTAACGTCATCGCAGAAGTAGGGTAAACGCGTTTCCCTTATTGACAGAAATGATCCGTTTATACAGGGTGTCCCAAAAATGTTGCGCAATCCGAAAGTGGCGGGTTCTTCGGATCATTTGATATTAATAATATAATATTATTAATATAATTATTATATTAGTATTATTATATTAGTATTATTATATTAATATTATATTATTATATTAGTGTTATTATATTAATATTATATTATTATATTAGTATTATATAATATAATATAATAATAATAATATTCCTTTAGAAAAATTTTCTCCGTGGCACCGTTAACGAGTTATTAACGAAAAACAGTGACCAATGAGAGGCGAGCTCGGCTGACGCGAGGCGATCGAGCCAATAAGCGGAACAGCTTCGCGCGCTGGTTAGTTGGGCCGCCTCGCGTCAGCCGTACTCGATTCTTATTGGTCACTGTTTTTCGTTAATAACTCGTTAACGGTGCCTCGGAGAACATTTCTGTAAAGGAAGAAGCTGCTTCAAATGATCTAAGGAACCCGCCATTTCGGGATTGCGAGACATTTTTGGGACACCCTGTATTGTTCCAAATTAGCCGTCATACTGAATTTTCACGAAACGAGTTCGGCCGAATGAAAACAAACAACGCCTCCTGACTCCTGCCACATCTCGTATGCCTGTGCTTTCTGTGGGTATACGCGTGTGTATTATTTATGCGACGACGAGCAAGCAAGCGCGCGACTGGAATCAGGAAGCGTAAAACAATCGAGTGAAAATGAAACAGAGGCACAAGTACAAGATTCAAGAGCATCAACTTGCCCTTAAAGCATTAACTTCAGATTCTTCTGATGAACACATGATTCTTTGTAATTACTAATTACTAATTAGCATCTCGATTAACTTTTCATTGCATTGTGCAGCAAGCGTGCTGTACTATATACATATTTTTTTATATTTATGTTGTATCACATGTTTTTTTTGAACGGTTATCACGCACGTCTTAAATACTTGTTCAATATTTATGAAGTATAAGTGAAAGTAATCATATTTTGCTCGTGCAGTATTACTCGCATGTTCGCAGGCTTGCAATGTATTATTCGAATATAGGAATTTTACGGATATCGTACGCCTACGTTAACGTCGTACAACGTTAACACTACGTATAAACTAAATGATTATTAAAATATTCGGCAACAATTGGTCCAAACTCTAGAATTAACTAAAACATTAAAAAAGTGCGAAGGCGTTTACTCGAGTTGAGTTTAGGCTTGTTAACAAATACTGTTAATCCGTGAATGGTAATTTGCGGTACGATGCGTAAGAAGCTGTCGCGATATTTTCCTTTCGGCATGATCTAAAAGCAAGGAAAGCCTTTTCGATGCAATGCCGATATCGTCGCTCGCGAGCACTCTTTGCAGGTAGACTGTCTAGACCTTCTTCAACGGCACTCCCATGGCTTCCTGATACTGCGGGCTTCCCGGTGAATACCCTATTTACCCCATACGACTCCGTTTACCCTAAAATACGCGTATCTAACTCGTATTACGTGTTCGCTTTCCCCGAGATCCCGAGGACACCACGAAGACGCCCTCGAAGTCAGAATAGCTTTTCAGTTACCCGACCTCGTAGCTTACTTGACCCTTGCATAACACGATCGTCGTGCTTGTGACAATTCTCGTGAATCCGAATTACGTGCAGTGGTAGTCCAGGAAAGGAACTTGAATTATTGAAAAAAGGATCAGAAGTTCGCTAACTTCCTTTCGTGATTGGCAACAATGCATTCGTTTAAACGAGTGGCAAATATCATGGCATACTATAGATTGTTGTTAACTACTGATTCTATATATATATCCGCTGTCCAGTTATGTAGTTTAAACTGCACAACCATGTTTTTCAC